ACACAAGACAACATAAGAATGGTATTTGTTTCTTGTGATCTGTATGACTTTTGGGACAACTAGTCTTCCTGAGTCTAGATGGCCTCTGAGGTCCCTTCTGATTTGTCTATGATCCTTCGATTTCATTTAGAAGTCTAGAGATTAATATTTATTATGAACAATAATTAATATTAAAGCAATTAATGATGAATAATAATATAAGAACAATAATTACTAAGAACAAGAATTTATTGCATATGTTTGTTCATTGCCTAATTAATAAGCATTAGCGATACCAGCAAACACCCAAATGTTGACTCTTCCTGGTTGTCTTTGTTACCGTTGAGGGAACAGTCATAACCCAAAGAAGTATTTCATGGTGTAAATGAAAATATGTAGCAGATACCTTTCTGATGTCACTCGTATCCTTTCATCATTAGAAGAATTAAATCTGTCATCCTTTTCTCTAAAATATTCCTCTATGCACTGCTCCTCAAAGTCATGGACTTTCTTGAGCTCATCATCTGTTATGAAAAGTTCTGTGAAAGCAACAAGAGAGATTAGTCAGAGTAGAAAATTTGCTTCTCTCCCAGAGATATTGTCTCATTCACCAAAATATTAAATGGGTTGTGTACACTGGTCTGGATTCTTGACTGAACTTCAAACAAATTTCATTCTTTCAAATAGGCTGTTTCAGGCCAATTTCTCTGCCCATTTGCTTATCTTTTAGATCTGAAATCCATCTAAGGACATCTGGCCTCAACTTTGGGATTGGCTGTAATTAAGAATTACCCTACTAATAGCTAAGAATTACAGCCAGCCTCAGAAAAGGGGGAGGCTTCAAAATAGAATGAGGTGATTTGTTTAAGTCCCTTTTGACTTCATGCAACACCAGAGTAACCCAGTGTAATCTTGCGTAAATTTCTTCATGTATTTGGAATGGGGAGGAGGGAGCAAGCTGGGGGTGGTAAAAGGGTTAGGCTTGGTAGGGTAGAATGGTGGTGGTCCACTGTTATATGCTACTTCCAGGGATAGTGATGTGACCTGTGATTTCACTGATATAAGGGAACTTTCCATAAGAAAATCTTCTCTGCAGCTTACTGAGAGCCTTGGGCAGTCAAATGTAACCCAGGATCCTACAGCCAGTATGTGGCAGAGGAGGGACCTAGGTCTTGCAAGTTCTAGGGCCATCTGTCATGCTGCCTCTAGTTCCCTTCCATATCCAGCTGCCCTTTGTGTGTTTGGACTCGATGGTTTGAAGTCATGACCTTTGCCTGGCTTTCTCTGAGTAGCTAATAAAAAACTTGTTCAGGGAATGGGAAAACCAAATCCACAGCCAGGGAAAAATGGAGCTCCCTCCCTCCTTCCTAAGAAAATCCTTTGTCGAAGAAGAATTTTGTGAGAAGGGGAAGATTGCATTGAAGGAATTGCATGATGTGCTAGATGAAAGAAGAGAGTGAAAAGGGACAGGGGGACACCCCCTCCCCCCATCACAGTAGTTCAAAATAATTTCTCTTCTCATGAATGAGTTGTATGATTTCATGATAAAGACAATACACTCCAAAGAAAATGCACTTACTTTACTGGAACCTTAACCACAGAAAGAAAACAAAGGTTAGTCAACAACTGTTTCCTTCCTTGGCTTTGCCTAGTGTTATTTTTCCAGATTAAAAAAAGAAATGCCTCAAACCAAAACAAAAAGGCAGGAGTCAGACTTTATAATGTAAATAATTTTTGTGTCGTTTGCCTTTCATTGAGAAGCTATGAGGACTTGGCATTTGAGGGAACCAGCAGTGAGTGTCCTGTTGTTGTTAAGTTGTTTCAGTTATGTCTGATTCTTCATGACCCCATTTGGGATTTTCTTAGCAAAGATACTACAGTGATTTGCCATTTCCTTCCGTAGATCATTTTATAGATGAGAAAACTGAGGCAAAAGGGTTAAGTGACTTGCCCAGGGTCACACAGCTAGTAAGCATCTGAGGCCAGATTGGAACTCAGGAAGATGTCTCCTGACTTCAAGCCCAGCACTCTATCCACTGTGCCATGAGATTGATCCTTAAAGGGTCCTTTTAGCCTTTCTGATATATGGCATGCAGAGACAACCCAGGGCTCTTCTTCTGTATCCATCCTGATCTGTCCATGGCACTTAATTTCTCCTATCAACATTTGCCAATTCTTCTCATTTCCTATATGCTACTGATGTCTGGGACCCATTTGTGTATAACAATATCAAGACCAACATATTAGACAAGCTTAGATAAATGGCTTCACTCACCTAGCTATTTGGTTTATCCTGGCCCTTTTGGGTGGATATGAAGCCTGGAATGCAAATCTGCTATCTAGATTTCTGTATCCTGTATCAATTCAGTCTAAAAGACAATAATACATTTATCTAATAATTTTTTGCCAATTGCATATAGGCACTATGCTAGGGAAACAAAGATAAAGACAGGAACAGAAGAGTCCCTGTCCTCATATAGCTTATATTCTACTTGGGAGAAGCATGTTCACGATAAATAAATACAAGACATTTATAAAGTAAATGCCAAATGGGGGGAAAGGATTAGGAAAGAACTTTTTGTAGGAGGTGGTATTTGAGCTGGGTCTTGAAGGGAGAAAGGGGCTCTAAGAGGTGGAGGGGAGAAGGGAAAATATTCTACAAAGAGGGAATAGCCTAGTCTAAGATACAGAGACAAGAGATGGAACATTATGTCTGGCAGAAAAAAAAGTAGGCCAATTTAGCTCAAACATAAAATGCATTAGAAGGACTAATGTGTAATTAGCCTGGAAAGGTAGTTTGGAAACACATTGTGAAGAATTTTAAATGCTAAACATAGGTGTTTTTATTTTATCTTAGAGGCAAGAGGGAGACATACAGCCTTTTGAGTAGGGAAATAACATGGTCAGGTCTGTGGTTTAGGAATATCAATTTGTCAGGTATGTGTCAACAATGGACTGGAAGGAGAAGAGGATTGGATTTAGGGAGGCAAATTAGGAGGATATTACAATAATCCAGGCAAGATTTGATGTGAGCCTGACATAGCATGGGTAGGGTGAGGTTGGAGAGCAAATGGTGGATGTGAGAAATAGTATGGAGGTGAAATGGACCTAGACTTGGCAATTAATCCTGTTGCTGAGCTATCTGGACATGTGGGACTCAGTTGTAACTGTACATGACTCTCCCTCCAACAGGAGGGAGTTGAAGGACTTTTTTCTTTTTCTTATTGACACCTAGCACTTATGTGCCTTGCACACAGTAGGTGTTTAAGAAATAAATACTAAATGAATTGAACCAAGTTGTAAATTGCTCTAGGATCCTGAGTGTGCCCTGTCATCCTTAGGGCATTTCCTGGTGAGGGATCTGACCCATTCATAAATACTCAATCTGTCCCTGACTTTGACTGTGTTAGTTCACACCTAGAAGAAGAAGGGCTTAACATTTTAAAAATCAGCTTTCATTTGTCAGAATTAGAATTTCATATGGAAATTGGGAACCTTGTAGCAACTTCTTTATCCCTTTCTCAAACTTCTGATTCTTATCTGTTAATGAAACTGGGGATTACCAGGACAGAGAACTGGTTGAAAATGACAGATTTTAAAGGATAGTTGGTTTGGTGTAGGTCATGGGATCATAGATTTAGAGCTGAAAGATACCTTAGAATCTGTACTCTGACCCCCTCCTTTTTTGGATAAGAAACTGAAGCCCAGAGAGGTTAATTGATTTGCCAAGAGTCGCACAGTTAGTAAGTGTCTGGTGTAGGATTTGAGTCTTTCTGACTCCAAGTCCAGCGTTCTCCCCACTCTACCATAAGGCCTTAAGCTTTAGAGGCTACTAATACAGAGAGGAGTCCGTGGCTAGAATGAGTGTGGAAGGTTTTGGGGTTCATCTCCTGAGACCTGTTGGTTATATTTTCTGCCAGTAGGAGTGAGAGGTCAAGGGCATGTAATTCAATCCTTTTATGGCTTCACTACTACTTTCCAAGTGCCAAACCCCAAGGAACTCCAGAGCCATGTGGAGCCTTTGGCAAACCAATGGAAAAAGCAAGATAAGCATATTTTCTTGCATAACATTTCTGATTTGGAGTGTACTGAGTCAGGTACTCAAAACTTACTTAAACCGTAGTCTCTTTCATCTGGGTCACTCTCATGTTTCCGCCATCGACAGCAAAGATGCTGGAATATCATGGTCATGTGGCTGAAAATAATTAGGGGTGGTGGCAGGACGGGTCTTTCATGAAATGTCATGATCAGCTGATACCTCTGAAACTTCCATACTTGATTGGATATAGATTTAACTTCGAAAAATGTGTTGCTGAAAAAGGAGCAAATAGAAAACAGTGAGATCCGCTGTTCTGTTAAGGACTGTTTTTCTTTTTAAGAGGTTTACCTAGGCCAAGATGACTGTGGCTTTGCCCTAAGGTGACAAAATTTAAAGAGCTACAACAGTACCCTCTGAAGGTGAACTTCTTTCTCCTTGTCACTGTTTTCCGGGCTTTTGGCTTTCCAGCAGCAGCCAGTCCTTCAGGAGTGTGGCAACCACTAGGTATGCTAGGGCTTGTTTCCTTCCCCCTAGTGGCAATAACCCAGGTGAGCTTCACCTTCACACGTCCTAATTAACCTCCTTTCCCCCAGGTACAGTAGTGTTTTATTACGGTTTTTTTTTTCTCCCACTCTTGCACTGAATTCAAATCCCCAAATGCCAACTTGCGACTTACTTAAAGACAGCAATAAGAAGGTTGACCAGCAGGATATTTGCCACTAAGAGGTAACAGGCCATGATGGCTGGCACAATCCAGGCTCCTGTTTTGCAGGGAGGCAACTGGATTATTTTGCCATCCTCTCGGGTTTCGTTTTGTCCACAGGGAGCTGGAGGAAGTAAAACAGGCAAGAAGTGAGAGAGTATAGTTCTTAGTGCCATAGCTCCTTTATCAATAATTAATGATCATTTAGCCCCCAGACATAAAAATAACAATAAAAAACCCCAACCAACAAGAACAAGAAAACCCTCTGTGAATCATCTGGGTGGTTGCCTCTCTGTAGGAAGTCCACTTACGTAGTATATTGGCCAATTCCAGAAGGGTTATATTTTCAAAGAACAACTTTCCTGTTAGTCTCTGAAACCTCAGTGAAGGTTTCTGGAGGACCTTTCTAGTTGACTTATCAGGGATGCACAGAATCTTTGGATTGGGAGAGATCATGGAGGTAATTTAATTTACCCTCCCTCTGATTTGTCAAGTTACTTTAAAAAAATGCACCATGGAGATGAAAACAGGTCAGCTATTGGCAAGGAGCCAGTCACCATTGATCACCAGTTAATGAGTCAGTCATTGTTAATTGCTGTAAGGAGCACCCTCTGTGTTGGTAGGAAATGATTTGCCATTCTTGTATTGGTAGGGAGCATGGGAAAAGGAATGCAACACCTTGGGAGATACTTGGAGGCCCAGTTGATTGAGGGAAGGGATTTTCATCAGTAGGAAGAATTAGAGGTGATGTGTTTTAAAGCAGAGAGAGTGTATATGCTTTTCTGGGCATCATGAACAAAGTCTAACCTCATTGGAAAACTGATATGTATCTAGTGCTTTAAGATTTAAGAAAAACCTTATAGACTTATCTCATTTGATTCTCACAACAACCCTGTGAGGTAGGTACAATGAATATTTTATCTCCATTTTATAGATGAGGAAACTGAGGGATGTTCATCTACTCTCTTCTTATCTTGTATGTACCAGTTTACATATATGTTGTCTCACCCATTAACTAAGCTCTTTGAGGGCATGAATTGTTTTTGTTTTTTTCAAGGTATTTTCACAACTTAGCACATGGTAGGATAGAGATAAACTCCAGATGTGTGATTTCATTGGCATAGGGAACTTCCAAATGAGGAAACTCTATCTATAATACATATAGGTTGTTGAGCAGCACAAGAACCCTTGTGAGGTTCTATACCATTAATTTGTAGTGGGTAAAATCAGTTAAATTTCATGATTTTCTACAATAACACCTACCTTTTTAGCTTGAGAGGAGAAGTCAGAAGTGGGGGTTACTCAGAGTGAGAATTCAGTCAGGCGGTCAGTCAATAAACATTTATTAAGCACCTACTATGTGCCAGGCAGGTGCTAAAAGTTGGGGATTCAAATTCAAAAGAAAAGAAAATCTCAGCCCTCAAGGAGTTTATAATCTAATTGGGGGAGGGGGAAGACAATGCACAAAAGGAAGCACTTGGTAAGATACCTGAAGGTGGGGGAAGAGATGGTGAAAAAGTCCGAGAAGTTCCACAGTAATGAGGTGAGAAATGAGGAGATGTTCTGATCTGAGTTCCCCCTTTAGATGGAAGTTTTAGAATTCATGGCTCTACCAGCTAATCAGAGGCAGAGGGCAGTGATGAGGTGGAATCCCAAGGCTGATGGGATCTCGAAGGTTGATGAGGTTTTCCCAATGATGAACTTTATGGGGCATATTGGAGAAGGTAGGAGAAGCCCCCAAGTAGGGTAGCCAGGTGAGAAATGAGATGTTCTGAGCTGAACTCCTTCATCAAATGGAGGTTTTGGAGTTCATGGCTCTGTCCTCCAATCAGATCTTGCAGGATGATGAGTTTCCTAGAGCAGGATTTACATTTTGGGAATGGGATAATGTCAGAGAAGCAAGGGATTCTAGGCAGTAGTGAAATTCCAAAGTAGCAGACTATGTAGTCAAAGATGTCTATGGAGACAAGTGGAATCAGTTTGAGGGAGATGTCCTTGAGCAATTGGGATGGATCAAGGGTCTAAAGGTCATAAGAATGATGAAGGTCTAAGTTAGGGGTGGGGAACATGTGGCCTCCAGGCCAAGTTTTACAGGGGATTTGTTCTGTGAAGTTTGGATTCAATCAAAGGGCCGAATTTGAGGACCTAGAGAGTCATATGTGGCCATGAGGCTGCAGGTTCCCATCCCTGATTGGTGAATGAGAGGGAGGGAATGGTAGAAGGACAGTGGGTTGTAGTTGTGGAGAGAAATACATAAGTTCTTGATCTTGGAGGTGGTGCAATTTTGAAAGATGATGATGATGTTTCAGGTATGCTTATGTTAGTCTGTGGATGACATGGAGTGGGGAATGTGCTCATTGGAATTGAGTTGGTTGAAGAATCATATGGTTGAGTTGTGAGATGGGCTCTCAGAGTGAGTCCAGTCCTTGAGCCTGATAGAAGCTGATGGGATAGTCTTTGGAAAAAAAAGGCAGAATAACTTGGAGGTCAGTAAATAGCAGAAACAAGGATGGAGGTACAAGTGGAATCAATTAATCTCAGAAATGGAAAGATCACTAGAAGATGGAATGTGTGTAGATTCCTCCACTAGTAGAGGAATGGTGTGGATGCTGTGTGGAGTGAAGAGTAAGTATACTTTCCCTTCTTCCTTTCCCTAGGAGCTGTGTGTGTGTGGTTTGTCTTTCATTCTCAAAGAGAACCATGACATCAGAAAGATGATGTCATGACTTGCAAGTGAATTGGATTTAAGTGAAGGAGAGTTATGAGTTGGGGAGGACAAGGGAAGGTTGTAAAAGCTTAAACAAGACAGAGGGAAGATGTGCTATTATCCTTGCTGACAACCAGACGCAATTGTAGGAAGATGTGGAGGAGGAATGGCCATTTATGTCTCAAGGAAGCTTTAAGGAATGTGGTGTCCTCAGGAGAGACCAGGTTTTGATCATTGTGAGAAAAAGAAAGGAATATTGTTTGAAAAATTTAAGGGCGTAGGGGAATTTGATGACAATAGGACAATTCCAAAGCATGCTATGGAATGGATGAGGTGATGAGTTTACCAAATTGGGTGGGAAGTTGGGGAGTAAAAGGCATGAGGATGTGGAAGCAATAGGATGGCCAGGCCACCTTCACCTAAGCCAGAAAGATGGTGATTGGGAAGCCAGTAAAATGGGAGGTAGATTGGTGAAGTATGCTTGCTTGTCAGTACTCAACTGAAACAGAATTTGTGGTCACTCTGACCCAGAGTTTGAGATAGAATTTGGAACTTTAGCATTTTGATGAGACTCGATAAGGTTTTTTTTTTTCTAGTTTGCCCTGGCTCATTGATTAAGGTAATTGGGTCTCAGGGCTCTGGGATACCTGGTGCTGGGCAAAAAAGTGATTAAATACTGCCAAATGAATTCTGGGCTTCCATGAGGTATCTCTTCCAGGTGTGCTTTGGAACAATGAATTGGCTCCTTTTGTTGAGTTACTGATAATTATTTCACAGGAAGATGGAGTTCAAATTTGGTCTCTGATACTTACAAGCTATATAGGCTGTGTAGACTTTAAATCATTTAAATCTCCATTAGCTTCCTCATCTGTTAAAAAACCTCTCTCCCAAGGTTGTCATGAGGATAAAGTGAGATAAAATTTGTAAAGCATTTTGCAAACCTTAAAGCACTTTATAAATGCTTACTACTACTACTACCACCACAACCTACCACCGCCACCACTATTACCACTACTATGCAGTTTTTTGTTTTTTGTTTTTTTTTACAAAATTTACAAAGTGCTTTTACTCCAGCAACCCTTTGAGGTAGGGAGTTCCCCATTTTATAGATGAAGACTCCTCAGAGAAGTTAAATTATTTCCTTAGTATTATACAGGTAGTATATGTTAGAACTGGGACTCAAAGCCAAGCCTTCTGTCTCTAAGTACTTTTCTCATTCTGCCACCCTGCCTCCTGTCAAGAGTAAGGTCAAGAACAAAGTTAAGCAGCAGTTCCTGTGAGAATAATCTGGAGATTTTAGTGGACTGCAAAGTTGATGTCAGTCAATCATAGGACATGAAGAAAGCTACTTTTATCTTAGGATGCATCGACAGAAGCACAGCATCCAGAGTGTGAGAGAAACTCATTTTCAAAATGAAAAGCCAGTGATGCATAAGATCTACAATTATTTGCATAGGCAGTTTTCATTCCTGAGAATTGTTATGGGTGGTGTAAATCTTGCCCACAATGAACATGTCCCTTGTATCGTCCAGCTGCAATTCTGTAGGGTGGTTGGATTGGGTGAGCTCATTAGCCATGGGCAATGTTGAGTCCCATGATTGCTGTGGCAGCATCTAGTTGACTACGAGTGCTCAGTTAATGATCACTGAGGTGACCTCTGGGCTTGGTCAGAGAGCAGAATGGAATTTAAGCCTAGGCAAAGTAGTTTTCATATTCTTTGCCTTGTTTCATGCCCCAAAGCACACGTGTCAAATTGCTTACTTAGCTCCGCAAGGTGTAGGTGTTACCCATAAATGAAGTGAATAATAACTACACTAGCAATACAAATTAATCATTAAAAAAACTCACACAATCTTAAGAAACACAGGATCCGTTAGGGTACAGAGAGTACCATACTCAAAGCAGGAAACATTCTTAACAGCAGCAGGGAAAATACCCATCCGAGCAAAAACAAGTTACACCTGTAGATACACAACCTTCTTATTCTTGGGATGTCTCTGTGACAGGAAGCATGCTGTGATTATAATCGATGTGAAGCAAGGTGTTGGATGTGCTAAATAGAGCAATGCCAGGTTGTTGACTTGGAGATGGTGACCAAGACGGTACAGAACAGTTGCTGATCTGCATTGGTAGAGGGAGTTTTCTTTACTGAAAGCTCCCTCCATCAGTGATATCAGATATCTGGAACCTCTCTCAACCCCGTGCCCCCCAAAATCACCTCTCTGGTTCTGGGCATTATGCTTCTCTTAATTCAGCTTAATATGGTATTGACCTTTTTGGCAGGCATATCACATTGCTTATGTATCTTGCAGTCCACCAGAACTCCTTGTATCTTTTTGAGACACCTGCTATCTAACCACAGTTCCCTCATCTTGTTTTTATAAAATGACCTGTAAGTTAATTCTGAATTTTAGTGT